TTTTAGTTATGAATGTCAGTGCGGCTACAAATATATCGTTGGTGAATGTGGTGGCACGATGCAGGAAAGTAATTGTCCACGATGTGGACATCGTATTGGCGGACTAAATCATACAGCCAACCCAGGTAACACGCGTCTTGATGCTCAAGTAATTAATGGAAGCAGAGAGACAATAGCCCAATTAGGCTATGTTTATGAATCCATCGAAAGCAGAAAGTACATCAATTATCGTCTTCGCGATTTAACACCAGTTTTCTACCGAATACTGCATCTTTTTGTGCATATACTTATTGCCTCTGCTTCAGATGCAGATCGTCATGATTTTTTCAACAACCCACAACAACAGAATAACGAAATAATTCAAGAACCTTTAGTTTATTGTCAAAGTCATATAGAGAACGATTGGCAAATACTGACACGCTTGTTTGATTGCGACGATGAAACATTGGCGTTTGTATTGCATTCAATTTTACATTCTATTTCCGAAAATCCAAACGAAGAAATAATAAGACTAGACACAATTGAAAAACGACGAGCTTGGGAAAATGAATTTGCTCAACGCTATATAAATCCAAAAGTTGTTAATGCTCGCCGCACCGCAACAGATTTTCAGAAAATGATTAAAGATTCTCAACGTACACTTGAAAGTGAAATTAATGAAACTTTGGATATTGATGAAAGATATCAACTTGATTTTCGTCCACGAATTTGGAGACGGATTGGCAAAACAAGCTTCGAAAATTTGCATGCATTTTGTGTAGGGTATCCAAACTTTACTACTGAATTTCCATTTCTATCATTGTTCTTTGAATATCAAGAACAATTAATATTGGTGAAAAATCTAGTACCAATTGTAAAATTCTCAAGGATTCTTTCATCAATGCTGTGCTACCGATTGAAAAGAAGTGATGCGCGCAATCTTACATTCGAACGATTTCTTAAAAACAATGAATCACCAGAAGATCTTTATGAAGCCTTTGAAAATTTTACCGAAGCATGGAACTCCGTGAGGGAACATGTTGTGCAGTTTGAATGTCACGAGTTTAAAAATCCGATGCCAGAAATGACCAGCAACCTTTCTGTGGTTTATGCATTGTTTGAAACAAAGGATGAATCATCGAATTTTTAGCAAATTTGCAAAATGAATTCTTGCAACAAGTATTAGCTATTGAGCCTGGTTGTCCCTCGTTGAGATTTTTAGAAGGACAATTTATAAATAATGTTAGACGTCATGTGCCCCAGCATCAATATTACATAGAATCATTAGCTCTTTCTGAAGTACGCCCTAAAAATATTATAAATTATGAATGGAATTCTAAATTACTTTCCTATAGTCAACGTAGTCTTGAACTTGGTCATGGACAAGAGCTCCAATATGAACTACCTAAAATTGAGGCAGAATTAGCATATTCATTACTTTTTAATAAATTTCATCTTAACAAAAATGATTCACATTGGTTAGACGTGTTTCCATACCATCTAGAATTATTTTCAACTTCTCGAACAATTTTGAGTGAAATCAGAGAGTTAATTCCTCAAGAACAAATTGCGACCACTTATAATACATCATCTAGACTTACTTTTAGTGGCCTAAATTCCGTCAATATGGTTCCTGTTTTTGATAATCCCACTGAACTCTTGTCAGAACTTGAAATTCTACTTTGTTTTTTGAGACGAATTTCGGGAAATCGCGAAATGGAAATCGTTGATTATCTAAATAAATGGATGAGACTATCAGCACTGACCGAGAATTCCCAATTTCAACAAATGGTTAGTGGATTAAGATTAAAACATGTGGTAGCATTATATGAACTAGTTGAAGAAAAAATTGCAGATATAGAAATTGAACATTTATCAGATAAATATAAAGCAAGGATATCACAAAATTTAAAGGATGAAATTAACGCAGGTGTTGATTTTGAGCAATCATATGGCATTGGCAGTAGTGATAAAAATAAACTTAAAATTCCACAAGGAGCTTTTGCATTAGTATTGAAGAGGTTCATGTTTCGCTATTTGTCATCAGAAATGTATAATCCTAATGAGGTACTTGCTGATTATTTAGCTGGGGATACTCTTATTGATTGTTGGCCGGTTTGGGTGCCCGATAATGTCATTCGCGATAAATTTCCAAAATCATTATTAGCTGCAAATATTTACGATGCATATCAATATACAATTCAGGTGAGTTAAATATAAATATATATATTTTTTTTAAATACGTTTACATAGTTTATAAAATTTTGTCTTTTTTCCTTTTAGAATGTGAAGAAGGCAGTTTCACATAAAATTAATAGTGGTCGACAGAAAGAAACTTCGTCAAGGACAATTCCTAGTTCAAGCGTACGTAGTGGAAATCATGGAAGTCATGGAAGTCATGGAAGTCATGGAAGTCATGGAAGTCACGTAGGACGTAGAAATCGCCGTGATGGAAGTAGCTTAGACAGAATGTAAATTAGTAATTTTACGTCCAAAAATTTTGGACAACTGATAAAATTTAACTGATAATCAAGTTGTGTGATCGTATATAAAGCATAATACATATTGTATGCATGTTCTTTATACATATCACGTACGAAAGAATAGAGAGAATTATTATTCATTACCAGGATGTAATTTAGGTGATCAATCAAATTACAAATCAAAAGTCACGATTTTACTGTTTTTTTGTTTTTTTTTTTTTTTTATTTAAATAAATTTTTTTTTAAAAACAATAAAATAAACCAAAAAAATAAATATGGCTCTTATTAAATGTCGGGGATGATGCTGTGCTGAAATCGGATAATGATAAAATTTGAGCTTGTTTTTGATTTTTTTTTTTTTTTTTTTGAGTTAGGACTTAGGGTTAAACGTTTATAAATTTAAAAGATACGGTTCCGATTCACCGAATGCTCATTTAGCCGACATCACATAGGGTTAGGGTTAAGCATTTGATATATATTTTTACTAAATTTTCATCTGGGG